GTAGAGCGGGTCAATCCTTGGAGCTTTCTCCATGCCCGACAGAGAAAACTTGGTGCGAATCGGGGTACATACGCTCCTGCTCGTCTAACTAATGTACTGATGTAATTCCACGCAAATATGGCTGCCCGGAGAATCCGTAACTGCAGCTATTGAGTCTGCTGTGGGAATAAGCGCCTAGAAGAGAGCTTTCACTGGCTTTTTCTGACTATGAGGATGGATGTAGATATAAGTCGTCTCTTGGCCAGGGCATTAGCAGAGCAGCTTCCACTCCTCCCCCCTAGATCTTAGCTAAGCTTCCCTTTTTGGGCACTGGACCTAGTTACCGCTCCATGGGAACATCTATAGATTCCGCTATCGGGAAAGTCAGGCATGGAATCACGCTAAGGTAAGGTTTCTAATCCATCTAGAATAGGATCTACTCTATCTATTTGATTTTCCACTTCTGCCTGGCTGACTGAATAAAGAAATGGAAGAACCATAGCTAAGACTGATCGATGAGCCTTCTCTCTCCTTGATCTGTCTAGTTCTATTTTGACTAATCCGAATCTGTGGACTGAGTGAGTAGCTAACTAAAATAGAATATTTGAGGATATAGGAGTGGGGCTATTCTTCGCACCGAGAAAATCTTTTGTTAATCTCGTTATCCCCACGGGCGCTGGGTTAAGGGCAGAATCACACCTTGGGGAACCGGTACGAAAGGGAGCTAGCTAAGGCAGCAAGCCAAGAAAGGCAGCATAGTAGGCCTTTTTTTTAGAAAGGAAGCCAACTCTTGTTCGACGTAGGGTAGAGTTCTTTCATTCCCTGGGCTTTCCATCCTATGGCTTGCGGGTCTTTGGCTAGAGACGGAGACTTTCCCAGTGAAAGCGCTGGCGTTCAGTTTGGTTGCGTGCTTTCCGATCTCTTTCCCTTCCTTTCTGTGGTAGCTAGGCCTGGTAGCATGGTTAACGGTAGCATGTTTGCTAGTCTTGTCGGACTAGGAGCTCTACTAGGCTTGACCGTGGGAAATGGACTTATTATTGCTCAAGTCAAGTGGACTTTCATTTGGCTCTAGACTACGATTCGATAGAGAACGATTTGGCACATCTTGGATTTCCTGGTATGAAAGTAGTTAGGCTTGGTTTTCTTTGAGTTCAAGATATTCGGCATAAGCCGTCTTTGCTTTTGCTCTTATCGATGTGATCCTTGTCTTTAGCTTGGGACTTCGCTTGGCACCAGGGCGGCTTGCTTACCTACCTTATGACTTTCGGACTTTCTTCTTTTCTGTTAGCACGCATCCAGTGACCGATGAATCTGTTGTCGGAATAAGCGTAAGCGCAGCAAGAGAATTCGCTGCTTTTGTGCCTAAAATCCCGACTTTAAAAAGCGTGATAACTGGGTTGGCTTTCAAAGAGAGAGACTATCACTGGATTGCTTGCTCAGTTCCTCAATCAAATTTCCCATTTGACTTCCTGACATTTTCAAGAGCTTGAATAAAAGAAAGGCCTGCTTACCCGCTTCAACTTCAAACAAAGAGGATTTATCACGGGATTGGTGTAACTGTCTTTCTCCCACTCGATGGATTGCTCGCTCCTATTGACCTAGCTGTCTTACTCGCTGTCTAGCCCGCTCTCCCTTACTTTCTTTTTTATCCCTAGCTTGAAGGAGGGAGAGGCTGACCCCTAAAACTAGATGGCAGAAGAGAATAAATTCCTCGTTCTTCGTTTTCGATTTGCTTGTCCATTTTTTCATTTTCACGTGAAGGAAGCAAAGCAACCTTAGTCTTAGTCTGCCCTATCTTTTTTTTTCGAATATCCCTTTTCGAAGCTTCGAGCCAAGGCAATCCGGAGACCAGTACGGACAGCCCAAGCCCAGAGTTCAGCAGTCAAGTTTGTAGCAACTCCAATTCTAGCTGCATAACCTCGAAGCCAGACGCCCTATCTTCCTCGATCCCACTCATGTTCGGATTCACTAACCATTCCCTTTCTCTTTTTGCATGTATGATTTCTTGGCGCTTCCTTTCGCTTTCATGCGGCCAGAAAGAATTGTTTTAGATAGTATAGAGCGGCTATGGTGCCATTTGCGAAGAGTTTATGCGCTTTCTTTACTACTACGTACGCTATTTCTCCCGTCTCGGACGTGATTCGTATTTGATGCTCTTATCGGATTGGATGCTTGATTCCTTAGCAGAGCTACTGATTTTAGATGCGGAACCAGAGCAGAGCTAATGGCTCACTTCACTACCTTAAGCCCAAGCTGGGACATTCTCTTAAGCTTAAAAAGAGTCTTTCTTTCCTGGGATAAGTTGAACTGTTTACTTCTATTTGAACTACTCCGAATCTCTTGAATATCAAATCGGATCTAACTCTTTCTTCGCGTAACACAGCGAATGAGCCGAGGCAAGCAAGGAAGTAGTAGATTGAAGAGGAGACAACCCGCTCTTGAACTTAAGACTATCTATGCGCGTCGCGTGCTCGATCTAGCAATTGTTTTGATGAACTGTCATTCAAAAAGAAAGAAGAGAAAGAAATGGGAGTTGGCGCCTACATAACAGGTTGCTTGCTTACCAAGCCATCCTGGCTTTTCGCTCCTCCAGTTCGATTATTATTTATTATTATTGACTTGACTTATTATTATAAAAACTACTAACTATCCAAATGAAAGACGATCGATTATCTACCCAAGAAGATAGAGAGTCCCACATACGAGAAAAGGTCACAAATAGAGTTGAACCAAGTAACATTGCAAAGGCATAATGATAGTAGGGTCGGGGTATCCCCGCCCTCCGAACCGGACGTGAAGGTCTCCCCTCATCCGGCTCTCTGCAGGGGAATCTCCACTCACTGCTTCCCCTAATATCCTCCCTTTACCACATCATGGGGGTTTACAGGAGATCCCAGAGGCTCGCTCGGAAAGGCTGCTATCCCATACCTTTTGACTCAACTCTACTCTAGTAGTCACTGGACTCACTATAGTAGTACTACGTCCGGCTGCTCTTGCTGAAATCATTACTCTTCATTCTCCCGTGCTCTAGCAATTGCGCTCCCTAGACCACTACCATGTAGTTAGGTAGAGACAATCAATCCGTAGTGACGGGAATCTGGGGATCCCTATCCATATCAAAAATGAAGAATCTATCTATAGAGAAGCTACCTTTCTCTCACTCAATAGATGTATCTGGTCTGGTACGGTACAGTACAATACGAGACGATGGAATGCAATGGGATGGATGGTAGAGGGCTGCCTGCGCCCAAAAGCGATGATTCACTTGTCCCCTTGTCCATAGGGACCTCGTGGCATACAACCGAAACGACTCCCGCTATATAGCCGCCCCTATCTCTCTTTTTACAGCCTCGTGGACGGACTAAAGAAGGGAAGTTACAGAACGGGGCAGTGAAGGCTCGAGAAGTAGACAGCAAGCTTTTCTCAGCCCCCTAACCTTTCTATTCTTATTAAAGCGCTAGCTTTACCCCTCTCCTTCTTACAGTCGAGCGAGCAGCTTCACCCCTATCTCTAATCGAAAGGGGCGTAAGCACTTCACTCGCTAGGGGATGGGATTCATTCACTTGCATTCCTGCTAGCACTACAAAAAGCTCCGGTCTTAACGCCCCTACTACTGCTGTGCAGCCTTTCCTCGGGTTCGTAGAGTCGGGTTTCCCGTTTACCCACAACGGAGGAGCCGCCCCCACCAGACCAGGCAGGCGGCCACGGGTCATAACGCACTCTTCGCACAACAAATCCACTTTGAAGTTGACTTATCCGCTCGACCAATCGTCGGAATGTGTACGATATACCAGAAGGGCCCAATATCTCAATAGCACCTTTGTCTAAAGCTTCGAATGAGACTTCATATCCGAAACGCAGGAACGATCTGACTAGAAAGTCATTCAAAACTTGATCGAAGAACCAGCGTTTATTGAAGAAGCTATAGAGTCGATTACAAAAAGTACTTGTTTGAAAGGCTCGTTGGAATTGATCCGCTACGGGATTTACATTATACGCAACAGAAGCACCTGAAGTACTAAACAGAATAGGTATTAGTTTGGTAATGGTTGGAGCAGCAAACTCGGATTCGGCAAGAATCTCATTTTTTGGTAGTACGAAGGGGGAATTGGCCCAAAAATTGGATAGGGGTCAAGACGCAGTCGGGCGCCGGCGGCTTACTCAAGTGCCCCCCGAACCGCGCGAAATGGTCGCCTATTACACGGCTCACTAACTCTGCCTGGGGTGTGGGGGTACCTATTATTCGTCGGCGGTCCGGCGCACCCCTACTCACTTAAAGGATGCTGCTTAATTACGAAGGAAATTCTTTCTGAATCTAGAGAGTTCCCTTTCGTTAAGCGCATCGAGCCAGGAGTGGACATCATCATCTGCAGACAAATCCAGATCCTGTTTCATCATTAGCTTAGCTAAAGTGGAATAGTATGACTGGCTTTCCGGAAAATGAGACGAAACCCGCTTTCTCAATAACTTATCTTTGGCCACTGAAAACCGTACGGAAGCCTGACTTTGGGGTATAGGGAGAGATTCTCAAGATCTGCAACATCATACTTGTCCCTACTCAACTTATTAACTGCCCGTTCAAGGCGACTGATCTTCTCCATCAGAGGATCGGACGGTTGTGGTGGGACGTATGGCACTATCTGATTCATGGGAGTGAGAGCCAAGGACACGGCCGGTACTGCAGGAGGTTTTCTTCGCGTTTGTACGTTATTTAAATCATTCTAGCCTTTCGCTTGCTTATCTTATTATGTTTCTAGTTCTCGCTCGTGGTAAATTGTATATTCTTTCAGTTCTAAATTCATTTCCCCAGACCCGGGGACGACGTACCCTAATACTGTAATAGCTGCAGACAATTGAACAGCCGACATCTTAGGAGCTTTCCATTCAATGTCGTCAGAATCGACCATATTGTGAATGTAACTTACACGCGAGGGCCACCTTTTCTATGACTCCTTTTTCATCTGTTTCCGACGGCACCGTTTGATACTTCAATCGAGAGGGCCGTGGTCGAGAAGCAGGGACCCTCCTCACCATTCCCTTTCCCCAGATTACTGAATGTACCGGAATGAATTCCACATAAAAGACAGGAACTGGGTTAACAAAAGGGGCTCGAACTACAGGGATCTGATACCCGGCTCTCTTGGTATGAGAAGTAGGTTATGTAGGCAGACAACCTTTCCTAGGTTGTTCCGATCGCAAACGGCCAAAGAATCTATTAGTAGTATGCCGGAACTCTTTTTCTTAAGGTGCAGAGCGAACTGTCGGACTAGGAGCTTCGATGGCTTTTGTTTCATAAGCAGTTCTTCCTCTAATAAATAAATGGCGAGAATCTTTTCTTGGTGGTAGGGCAGTAGCCTTTAGCCTTTTCTCAGGACTTTCTCGATAGCCATAAGCTCTTCCTTCCATTAGTCATCTGGGCTTGTAGTTGAAGCAATTCTCTCTGTCAGGCATATCCGATAGTCTCCCCCATTTCGCTTTCGAGCGAGGTCCTTTTTTATGCAATTTCTTATGTAACAACAGGATGCTATTGCTTGCTGGCTACGAATCCCATTTCACGAAATGACTTTTGAGTCATTCTTTTTTTTTTTTCATTTATTGGGAGACTGAAAAGGGTTTTCAAACTCCACTGCCTTAGCCTTTTCTCTTGATGGCTTTCAATCAGACTAATAATCCGGACTATTAACCTTGGTTAATTCTTTTCACAGCTAAGCTGACTGTTCCGCCATATGCCATACTAGACTTTCTATTGATTAATACCCAAAGCTTTTTAACTATTGCTTAATCAAGCATTCCCGCCGTAGTCACAAGGTAAATCGAAGCCAAGGAACAACCTTTTTGCAGAAACCATAGCACCTACCCTCGTGTCAGGAGCTGGCTTGTGGGCTTAAGCCCGGGAAATCAAATTCCCAGTTGCAAAATAAATAAAGAAGAGCTGAAATAGAATTACCCTCGGTTCCTTCACTTCAGAAAAAAAAACCTTTTAAAGAAAAGAGGCACTATAAAAAAAAGTCTAGGGAAAGGAAAAAGGGGGAGAAGATATAGACACATAGAGAGAAAAAGACCACCTATTCTATTAATAAAATAATAATTGAAAAAAAGAAACACAACCCACACTCATAGGGAAGAATCCTCAAATCCAACCTCTTAGGGGGCTAAATCAGAGGAAGAGAGAGAATCGGGACTCAATAAGCTTCAAGGAAAGGAAGCTTTATAAGATCGGAAATAGTCTGAACTTTCCTCTGCTCTTTGAATAGGACATTAGGCACGGGGGATTCGGAAAAGGCAGAACAAGACAAACAACCTCATTTATTTCGGATAGAATCCGCTGGTAATTCAGAGTTTTACGAGTAAATTCGCGGCGAATCATCAGTTTTCATTTCATTCTTAGATGTGAAAGTCTTACTCTTCTCTGTGCTTATGCTTACTTTACTTCCAGTTTGCAGTCTACGTTTAAGGATTATTCTTAGACTGCTTTCTTCGCTTCGTTCCTAACCTTATAACCGCGTTTGAATGGAACAGTTTTCTTCTTTACTTAGCCAAACCTTCGTAGTGCTAGACCAGAGTGAATAATTCTCGTAACAATAGGAGAGACCAAAGAAGATTACTGACTAACGGCGGAATTCTACTAATGGTAATGGAGCTTTCGCTTCTTCCTCAACATAGGAACATCGACGGGTTCGTAACTAACAAAGCAAGGGAAAATAGGTGAGAGCTTTACAGGCTTTTTTGCTAAGGCTATATCGCCATCTAGACGAAAAGAGAACCTTACTTCACAAACGGAAGACCTCATCCCCGGCTCCTAAGCATATCAAGACGGGCAGCATTGTGCTGGTACTTCGTCTCATTGGACTGATCGAATGAAAAGCCCATACATATTAGTAGGGGCTCTAGTTCATTTCGGACTTCTTTGATCCAATCGCACATATAGATATAGAGAATAGAAGGCTTGTTAGCTATCCACTGAACCCTATGAAGAAGGCAATCCCTGTAATCGTTGATTTTCTGACATGCCGGGTAGCATCTGCTTCTGATCGGGGAGAACCTCAGATCGCACTATATGCCCCTTATTTCATAATAGGGGGATGGGCAAGGTCTGGCTACTTGAAATTAGCAAGAGTGGTCCCCGTGGTCCAAAGCAAGAAACTTCAGTCCAATCGAACATTATATAAAAAAAAGAAGATGCCCCCCTAAACCTTTAGGTTTGGCTTTACCGATCCCGTGCATCTTCATTGGGTGCTTTGTCATCCGTGCATGCTTTCATGCATTCCTTCCTTGTCTTCTTTCATCTCACGCGAACAGCTCTGATTGAATCTTTCGAAGTTCGATTCGTACAGGCTTTCATGTACAAGTTTAGATGTGGGGAAGTTGATTAGCTGGAACGGAGAGGACTCTTTCAAAAGTGGATTCCGGGAAATGACACTCAAACTTTTCCTTATATGATCAGATAATGAATTCATTAACTGGGTGCTCTCCTTCCCCCCTTGTTTTCAGTAAAGGTGAAATGAAGCTAGCGTCTTTCCC